GAACAGTTCAGAAATGTAGGAGAACCAGGAGAACCAGGTGTTTCAAAACCCTAGAGAGATGAGAGTGATCAACAGTGTCAAAGGGTGGTGAAAGGTCAAGAAGAATGAGTATTGTGAAAAGACCACTGGATCTGGCAATTAGAAAATCATTGGTAACTCTGGAGAAAACAGGAGTTATAGAGAGAATGAGAAGAGAGGTAGTGAAGGCACCTTTTTGTAGATGACCTTCTCAAGGAGTTTAGCCATAATGGGCTGAAGAGATCTAAGATGAAAGTGGGGATGGAAGGCTCAAATGAGGGTTTTCTGAGGAAGAGGGAGACACGAGCATATTTGTAAACAGTAGGGAAGGAGCCAGTGGATAGGGAGAGGTTGAAGGTAAGTGTAATAGAGTGGGGATGCCAGAGGAGGCAATCTGCTGGAAGAGACAGGATGGAATGGGATTGCTTGGGCAGGTAGAGTGGTTTGGCTTGACAAAACGTAGAGCCACCTCTTTGTGTGAGAAGGAGATAGCGGCAGAAGGCATAGAAGGATCATTAGATAAGGACGAAGGGAGAAAAGAGAGCCCTGGATGAATGGTCTCAATTTTTTCAGTTAAAATACAAGGCAAGGTTCTTAGTTGAGAGGGTGTGGGGTGAAGGGGCCAAGGAAGGTTTGAGGAGGAATAAAAAGACGTAGAAGAGTTGCTGTCAAGAGTGGGGTGGTGAGTTGATAAGGAAAGTGTAGACGGATTGTCGAGCATCAGCCAGGATCTAGTTGAGGTTGCATAAAACCAATTTAGAGTGGACCTAGTTAGAATGATGATTGCATGCTATCCCCCTCCCTCTTTGTTTAGTAGCACATGCATAGGAGTGAAGGCAGTATATGTTGGGAGTATTCCAAGGCTGGCTTAGCAGAGGACACTCTGATATGATAGCAGGGCCAGGGATTCAAGAGAAGAGAACGGTGTTGAGTTGAATTAAATTGTTTTACCAAGGGGTCAAGACGGGGAAAGAAGAAGAGACCGGCAAGGGTAATGGCTGGGGAGAGAACTGAAGTTGAGGTATTGGAGGCCACAGAGTGGAAGGAGAGTAGGGGTTAGTAGGAGAAGACAGAGAGAGGTGGAAAGTCGGAGTTAGTGATCAGATCAGGGAACTTCACAGTTCTTGAACTTGGAGGAGGTTCGTGTGAGAATGATGGCAACCTCAAAGGCATACATGTTGCCAAAGTGTTGTGGAGGAGTAAGTCAGGGGAAACGAGTAGTTGAAGAACTGGGAAGTAAGAGTGTTTGAGGGAGAGTCAATATGTGGGTTGAAGTCCCCTAGTATGAGGGCAGGAGTTGAGTGAGCCAGGTACTGAACTCCTTAAGGAAGGAAGGGGATTGTTGCAGAGGTGTGTAGACAACTACTATCGGTATTTTGAATATGTGGATTGTAGGAACATCAAAGAAGGAGAGTCTACTGAGTAACAGGGGTAGGAGGAGAACCTAGAAGTGGCAGTGGGGAGCAAGCAGTATTCCAACTCTCCCCCTTTGACCAGAGAGCTGAGGGGATGAGTGAAAGTGCAGCCGTATTGGTAAGGGTTTCTAGGGAGACTATGTCATCAGAAGGGAAGCCAGGTCTCTGTTACTGGCAGAAGATGGAAGGAGCAGGAGAAGAAAAGATTTAAGATAAAGGCAAGTTTGTTGTCTATGTGACAGGCACTCCAGGGGTACAGTAGAGAGGTGGGTGGTGTTTGGGTCTTTGGGGTGGAAGGAAATAAGCAATTGGGTGGTGGGAGATGGTGAATGGGGTTTGGATTGTGGGTTCAGAATCACCAGGATTTGAAGATTATGACCAGGTTAATTGTTCAGTAAAAGGGACCTCACCTCTTCCTAGAGGAGGCTGGGGTTCAGGCAAGAGATACGCACAGCCCGAGATGGCAGGCACTAGGTCAGATTCTTCCCTCCAAAGACTGGAGATTAAGCAGGAGACCCAACAGCAGGAGAAGGAAATAGCGGCTCTAAACCACCTCTCCTGCCAGCCAATGGTCATCCACAAGTATTTTATTAAGCCCTTTCTAAGTGCCTAGCATTGTATTAGGCACTGAGGCTTCAAAGAAAAGCAAAAACAATCCCTGCCCTCTAGGAATGATGGGAAAAAATGCAAACAACTATGTACATACAAGGTATATGCAGATCAGGCAGCTGATAATCACCGGGGAAAGCACTGTGGGAGGGGAAAGGAGGGATAGGAAAGGGGAAAGGCCTCCTGCAGAAGATAGGATCTGAGCTGATTCTTGAAGGGAGCCAGCAAAGCCCAAAGACACAAGTAAGGAGGGGAAGTGTTCCAGGCACGGAGAACACTCCCTTTGAAAAGTCACAGGGGTTGGGAGGTGATGTGTTGTGTGTGAGGAACATGGAGAAGATGGGTGCTGTTGTATCATAAAAAACAGAGGGAAGTAAAGTGTAAGGATCCTGAAATGGTGGGAAGGGACTGAGTAATGAAGACTTTAAACCGCCAGATAGGACTGTGATCCCAGAGGTCACTGGGAGCCACAGGAGCTCATTGAGCAGCGGAGCGACACGGCAGCTGAGGAGAGGTTGGATTGGTGTGGGGAGAGATTTGAGGCAGGGAGACCCTCCGAAAGGCTTTTTGTAATACAGTAGTTCAGGAGTGAGGGGATGAAAATCTGCACCAGGGTGGCTCTGCTCTGATTTCCCCGTGGTTTGGCTCAGGGGAAACGAACTCCAGGGCCTCTGGACTCCCTGCCTCCAGCTAAGCTGAGAATGGGGAGAAGTTTGTTGTGCAGAAACCCTGGGAAGCTTGGAATGCTGCAGCCCGGAATGATGCGGAAGCATGGCCTGGAGCTGGTTCCTGCGCTTTAGAAATAATATAGGGGATGCCAAAAAGGGAGGCATGGATGAAATCACGTTTGGAAAATAACAAATGAAAGGAACTGGCAGAAAGGCAGCATGGTGTAGTGAATAAACAGCTGGCCTCGGAGTCAGCAAGGCCCAGGTTCAAGTATTGTCTTGGACACATGCTGACTGAGCGACCCAGAGCCATCACTTAGTCTAACTGTGCCCTAAGCAGCTCTCCGAGACAAGTTGCAGAAAGGATGCCAACCTGCATCAACAGAGAGATTTTCCTTGTGGGGAGTTCCCTATGCCAATGAAATCACAGATTGTTTCCAGCCCTAAAGGTGGCAGGAGACTAGAAGCCTGAGGACATCTGTCTTCCTATCTATGAAGTAGTGGGGGAGGACTTTTCACCAGTTGTCCTCCATATTCACAGAGAGCCCAAGCTAGAGAAAACTGCAGAAATTTCAATTACAATAAAGGAAAGACTTTCCAGCTCACTAGGGGATAAAACTTTGAATGCATAATTGAGGAAAACCTTGGGGCCTCTTCTCTTGGAGATCTTTAAGAAGGGCACAGATGATAATGTGCCCCAGGAACTACATGAAAGGAGAAGAAATAAGCAACAACCACTTTTTGGGTCATTAGCTATTTTAAAAAGCAAGTAAATGGAGTTGGAATATTGCTTTTTTTTTCCACCTTAGAAATGTGCAACAACAGTGTCCATGAGCAAGAGAATGAGTGGAAGTTGAATTTCTTAGAAATAAGGAGCTTAAAATTTCATTTCTGATTGCAACATAGAAAAAAACCAAGCTACTTCAGCCTTCTATTACATCCAGATATAGGGAGGAGACAGAGAGACACAAAGTCCAAAGCCAGCTTGCCTGGGCCAAGTCTCTCTGCTTCAAATTTGAACTCAGTCTACTCAGTCCCTTACCATAAGGCCAGTAGCCTAGGCAAGTTGAAACTTGAGTCTTCCTGAGTCCTGAATTTTTCCCTGAGGTAGAAGTCAATACAAGTCAAATTCTGTGCTACTTTTCAGAGTGAGAACAAAATCCACATTTCTGAGGACCCCAATGTAGACTCAATCCAATAATTAGAGGCATCTTGGCATCAGAGTAGATAGAGGAACTGACCTTGCAGTTTGCAACATTTGGGCTCAAGGTCTGTCTCTGACATGTACTAACCTTGTGAGCACAAGCAAATTATTTAACCTCTCAGGGCCTGAGGTGACTTTCTAAAACTAGAAATGATCAAGGAGTTGTGCAGATCTGCATTGATGGAGGGTGTTTTCATACTGGGAGTTTTACCAATGAAATCTTAAGCCTAGTCAAAAAACCAAAATCACACAACCATCATACCAGGAAAAGCCATGTATAAATACCAAGTCTAGTGATTCCAGTGAAGCAAGATGAATTGAAATAGAACAAAATTTCTCCCCAAAACTACATGGTTAGAGAGAAGGAAGTTTTAGAAATCCCTAAGGAAAAACAGCCATTGAAGAGTAAATTTCGGAGCAGCTAGGTGGTGCAGTGGATAGAGTACCAGCCCTGAAGTCAGGAGGACCTGAGTTCAAACTGAGCCTTAGACTCTTAATAGCCTTATGACTCTGGGCAAGCCACTTAACCCCTATTGCCTTTTAAAAACAAAAAAGGAAATTTTGATTAGAAAGGTAAGAAATTAGAGGTGGGACTAACTGCATTTCTATCAAGTTTCTCTGCATTTCTGTACCTGAATCCTTGAGGAAAAAGAATTATAGAATACTAAAGCTTGGAAAGGACCTTAGAGACCATCTAATTCAACCCCCTAATTTTGCAGATGAGGAAAATGAGTCTCAGAGAGGGAAAGGAGTTTCCCCTAAGGGTCACACAGGATAAATAGCAGGGTCAGAATTTGAACACAGTTCTCTGACTAATTTCAGCATTCTTTGCATTATAATACCACATTTCCTCAAACACTGCCCAGTTCTAATTCCTGTGTGAACCAATACTTCACAGATCCAGATAATTCTTATACAACTTGAACTTCACCTCCAGATCATCTTATAATATACACTCAAGGTCTGATGGAGTTACCTGTAGTTGCAGAAAGGCAATATCACTTTTTGAGGGTCCATGGTAGCAGAATTGGAATTGTCCATAAGATGTGAGGATACCCAATAAAGACAAATGATTCTCTATTTCAGGCAATAAAATCCTGAGCCTCGTCTAGACATCGGCCTGAAGGTAGGGGTTTCCCATTTGGCCTCTCCAGAATTACTTCTAAATCTGCAAGTTCAGGATGTAGTACAAGGCTTGACCTGAATAACAGTGACTGAGGGGGAAATTCTCTGGGGGAGTCCAAGGCTTGGGAGGGGCAAGTACTATTTGGGGAGAGTACATGGGTGGCTGGACCCCCCAGCAGAAGAGGTTTGGCTGGGTCCTCAATGCTTCCTGTACCCCCAGATTCCAGGTGAACATGGGGCGCCGCCAGAGAGACGCAGTCTTCATTGGCCTCCTGGGAGCCACAATAGTATCAGGAGTCATTGCCCTCATCCTCTTTCTTGTGGATGGCTCAGATGTCTTTGGGCTTCCACATGCCAAGGTAGGCCCTATCCTGCCATATTCTACCCTGCCATATTTTCCCCTATCCCACTTTATCCCCATCCAACACACACACACACACACACACACACACACACACACACACACACACACACACAGAGTTTCTATCTTCGGGGCTGCTATGAGGGATTTCTGTATTTTTAGATCTATTAAGTTACCTTAACAAAGCATAACTGACCTGTATCTCATGGCTCCACCAGTATGGGATGGTGTTCGATGCTGGATCTTCACACACATCTCTCTATGTCTACAAGTGGCCAGGAGACAAAAAGAATGGCACTGGCATCGTGAGCCAGGCTCTGTCCTGCAACGTGGAAGGTCAGTTTTGGCTGTACACATAAGCCCCAAAAGTATGGATTCTGTACCAAAAGTGGTTTATAATCTGACTCTTTGCAGGGATATTTTATGAACCCCTAGAATCTCAGGGGTGTAAGGGTCTAGTCCCAGATATGCTAGGACAGGTGGATTCTGTGCTACTTCCTGATGAGGGGACCATTCAAACTCTACTTGAACACCCTCTCGTGGTGGAGAACCCCTGCCTCCCAAGGCAGCTTATTCTATTTTTAGGCAGTTCTAATAGTTTAGAAGTTAAATTGCTAAATTTGAAGAGAGTTTTCTTTCTACCTAAAGACAAAAAAGTCTTTGAAAGAAAGTTTAGATGAACCCTTAAGTGATGGTTCAATATGTTGAGAACTGGTGATTTGGTTGGGGTAACAATTGCCCGTACTAATGCAGATCACAAACAATCTGTAACTTCATGGTCTTAGAGAGTTGCTTGAGATTCAGAGGAGTGACCTGACCATGGTCACACAGCTGGACATGTCAGAAGTAGGATCTGAACCCCTGTCTTTCTGACTCCACAAGTCCAGAATTCTATCCACTCATCCTGGCAGATCCATGTAGCATATAAAATTAATCCTTGCAAAAAAGAAACTGAAGGTGTTTGTGGACATTCCTGAATTGTGAGGTGATGGAAGCTGACCCATGAAATGTTATTGTGATTGTCCTCAAACTGCCTTCAGTAACCTCATCATAGTGGAGATCCTGGGCTGGAGAACCATTAAGCCCAAGGCATGGGGGCAGATCACTCCTTTTTCTTTCTGGATCAAACACACACACACACACACACACACACACACACACACACACACACACA